GTTAATAATGTTATAACATTTAATTAATTTTTTATTTGTTGCAACATAATAAAATAATTGTTGTTACCATCTTTAGTGTAAATATTGTAAAAGATATTAGCTATATGGCAAACCTGAAAAATTAGAAGAGCATTTAGCTAACGAATGTCTCAAGGTACTAGATATAATTCAATCATATTATGTAAATATTGTTGCATTTCATGGTTTTGGTAAAGAATCATCCAACAATTCAAAAAAAGAAAATTTGATGTTAATATTAACAAAAAGAATAATCAAAGAAAAATTTATGAATGGTTTGAACCAAACTATCCTACCTGATTATAAATCTGCTTCTATTACATGTGTATTTGTACGTATTTTTATTTGTTGTGATATTTCTTTTTCCATTATCAAAAATCCTTTCTTCCTTGATTTTTACATTAAATAAAACTTAGGTATAAGTCTCCTTCTTGAGAGATGTTTAGTGAAAGTCTTTTAAAATAAGAAGTTGCTTGTGTAAATAAGAAAGTTTGATAAAACTTTGTCTAATTCTGAAAATTTAAGCTTAGGTATTAAAATATCTTTTTTATAAATTTGATTTATATTTATTATAAGCATTACTAAATTTATATTTTTATTTTTATTCTTTAGTTTTAGATAGATAGACGAATCCAAATAGTGTTTCCATTTATAATTTTGTATTGCTTACTTCTGAAAAGTAACAATTTCTTAACCATTTACAAGATTGCAGCAGAGAATACCATACCAGTGAATATTTAGCTTTACAAATTAGTGAAGTTGTTGAACAAGTTGGAAAGGATAAAATAGTAGCTGTAGTAACAGATAATGCATCAAACTGTGCAAATGCTTGTGAAATTATTTTTACTAAATATCTAAAGATTCTAAATATACGATATATTACATATTTTGTAAACTTACTTATTAAGGATATTATGTGTAAGTGTTATTAATTTATTAAAAAGTAAGATAGATAATTTATAGAGTTTTTTATTATATAGAATTTTTTTTAATTATATAATATTATTAATATTATATTTTATTTTAATAAACTATATTTTATTAATATATATTATTATTAATTTATTATTTATATATATTTTGCATTAGCTCATAATCTGACAAAACATTCTATTAAAGTATGTAATGAAATAATAAGATTTTTTAAAATATCACATATTGCAAGTAATCTTTTAAGAAATGCTATAGTATCTCTTAATATTAAAGAAGAAGGATTAAAGACATATACTGAATCATATTAGACTTCAATGTTTGAAGCTTCATCAGCAATTAAACAATTAAAATCAGCATTAGAACAAGTATGTAAATTATAAAAGCATTTATTTCTTTAAATTATAATAATAATTTTTACATTTTTTTTTAATTTTAAAGATTATATATAACAACTCTGATGAAATTACTAATAAATCTGTTAAATGGATTTTACGTAATTGGAATTTTTTTTCAAATGTTTTAAATTTAACAAAAGTTTTAAAGTTTTAAAACTAATAAAAATAATAATCAAGTTATTGGAAAGCAATTCAACAAATCTAGCTGATTGTTTTATACAATTGATTAATTTAGCAAGTTTACTTTCAAAATTACCTTCTGATAATATGGTTGCATTTCAACAATATGCTATTAAATATTTTAATAATCGTTGGAAAGGATTTGATTCAGATTTATATATATTATCATATTTTTTACATCCAGCATATAGAGGTAATTTTTTTTAATTTTATTATAATTAAATATAATTATTTTTACAAATTAATTAATATTTATTTAATATATTTAGGACAAGGATTAAAAAAAGGAAATTATATCAAAATTGCTAATAAAGCAGCAGAAATTTAGCAAAATAAAGGAAATGATCAAAATTTATGTAAAATTTTATTAATTCAAATGTGTAAATATAAACTATATAGAGAACTATATAATGAGAAATATGAACTTAGTTATGATATTCCAGAAAGTTAGTGATTGTTAATTGAAGATTAATATGATTATTTACAAAATTTGGTATTGAAGATTTTTTTATTACTCCTCATAGTACAAGCTGTGAAAGAGTTTTTTCAACTTTGGGTTGGTTATATGATAAAAGACATCAACAATTATTACTTTCAAAAGTTGAAGCAATGGCTAAAATTAGATCATTTAATATTTCTAATATTAAAAAGAACTTGTTTTTGCCAGTCAAATATTTACTGAAGCTGAGTTACGTGATATAGTAATAGAATTAACTTTATTAATGAATGATGATGATGACGATGATAAATATGATAATAATGATAATTTTGAAAATACTAGCATTGATACTTCTAATAATAATATCTATATTGCAATTGAAGATTTGTTTGACTTGGATCAATTTCCTTTATACCTTAGAAATGATAATGAATTTGAGAATGAAGATGAATTATCAGAAATTAATGAAAGTGATGAAAATAATAGTGATTTGAATAAGAGTCAAGAAGAAAAGG